CCTGAAGCTGCGGTCGTACGCACCCGGAGAGCCACCCTGTCTTGAGCTAAACAGGAAGACAAAGAAAATAAAGCCAAAGCACTATGAGAACATCCTGATGTCATTTATTCCATGAGTGTGGCGCTTCAGATGCTGACTCAGACGTCAGGTCAACATAAGCTCTCCCCCGGACATGAGCAATGAAAACAGGACAAATGGCAGAATAAAGTCAGCCATGACACAACTTCCAGAAACAGGTCAAAGTGACACATCACTGAAGACAGAGTGTGCGATGCAGATCAGAGAAAGCATTGTAATTTACAGGGTGTCTTGTGTTGAGCTGCACAGCTGTGTTAACAAGCACAAGACAGGTCACTCCACTTTAGAGAGAGGGAAAATCTGAGGAATGAAGCATTTAAGACAACAAAAAGATGCATGAAAGACACAAAGGAGATTTTGAGAGAAACAAAGAAAGAAAAAAATAACACTAATATTCTGTATGAGGACATACAGTATAAACAAATTATACATTACCAGTCAAAAGTTTGGAATAATTAAGATTATTTAATGTTTTTGAAAAAGTCCCTTCTGTTCTGCTTTTGCTTACGCATTAATTTGATCAAAAATACAGTACAATCAGTAATATTGTAAAATGTTCTTACAATTCAAAAATAAATACTTTATTTAAAAATAATTGATTCCTGTGATCAAAGCTGAATTTTCAGCATAATTACTCCAGTCTTCAGTGTCACATGATCCTTCAGAAATCATTCTGATATGCTGATTTGCTGCTCAAGAAACATTTCTGATTATTATCAATGTTGAAAACAGTTTTCGCTGAATAATATTTTGTGGAAACCGTTTGAGGTAAGATAAAAAAAGAAAAGAATACTTTTATTCAGCAAGGGCATATGAAATTGATTAAAAGTGACAGTAAAGACATTTATTATGTTACAAAAGATTTCAAATAAATGCTGTTCTTTTTAAATTTATATTCATCTGAAAAAAAAAAAACAGTCTCCACAAAAACATTAAGCAGCAAAAATGTTTTAACATTGATACTAATGAGAACAATTATTAATAACAGAGCACCAATAATAATTCATAATAAATTAGCACCAAATCAGAGTATTAGAACGAATCTGATGTTGAAAATTTAGCTTTGATTACAGCAATATATTACATTTTACAATATATTCACAGCTATTTTAAATTGTAATAATATTTCACAAATTATACTTTTTTTGTTTGTTTGTTTTTGATCAAATAAATGCAGCCATTGTGTGCATAAAAGACTTCTTTCAAAAAACATCTAAAATCATAGGAGGAACAATGACAGGTAGTGCACATATAGATTATATATATGAATTTTAAACTTTAGCATGTGTCATACACCTACACTGCATCAAACATCTGCTGTCCCTAGTGGGTTTGAACCCTCCACAAACTGGAGAGTTGCCGTGGATCCCCATTACCATCAGGTTCTTGATCTACTGCATCTGTCTGTTCCTCTGTTTGCAGTGAATGAACAGCTCCTGCCTTCACATACAATCAAAGCATGCAATCTGAGCTATAGCGTGTGATAGTGTTTACCCCGACTCAAAGCCTGGCCGAGGGTCTTTAAAGGTGGTGGTGTGAGAATTGTGGTCCACAAAGTATCGCACCCCCTCTGCCGTGTACTTCATCTCCCAGCCCGGTGGCAGGGGCGGCTCCTGGATCATCCTGCAAATGGAGGAGGGCAGTGAGAGCAGCGCACCCTGCTGGACACTTAACACTACATAACATGATGTTGTTCAGTCAAATCTAAAACGCAATGAACAAATAAAAAATGTCAAAATTAAAATGAGCAAACAATGTTTTGCAGCTTAAGTGGATGAGTTTGATAATGTGTGGTATTCATTTTGGTTGAGCAGGCAACTACACAAAGCAACTAACGCAGCTACCTTAAAAATAACTCCGCTTTCACAGTAGTTTTACTGAGCTAGGCATAAAAAGGGCAGTTCGTTTGTTACACCATATTTAGGAGTGGGCAAACCTGACATCAGAAAGCGTACTTGCAGACAAACTTAGACTTCCTCAGAAGAGCTTATTTTGACAGCAAACGGGACTTGGTTTCCAAGTGGGCGGTGAAACATGCATCCTGGGGTAGCAGGCCAATCAGCCAATCAGATTATAACTGCCAATTTTAGACAACTCTTGCCCACTTTTCCGACAAGTTGCACTGCAGCTGTTTTTGGCACATTACATGGCATGACATTATTCAGCTCCAAATGAAAATTAATTTAAATATTTTAGACAGGTCATGTGTGCCAGATGAAAAACACTGCTTGTTCACTGCTACATGCAGTCACATACTGCATGTAGCTTTAACGTTGTTAGCTAACCTTTTCACTAGTAACTTGCAATGTTGCCAACTATATTTTCAAAAGGGTAGCTCAACTGTAGCTCAAGTATGAGCAGCTCGTAGCTTTGCAGTTTCAAAGTAACTTCCCCAACATTGGTAAACTGACGCTTAAACAAGACACACACACACACACACACACACACACACACACACAGAGCGCTCTGACAAACTCCACTTGAATCTGCAGATCATTTGCTGTGGGCCGCATGGGTCACATGACAGGAGGACATGATTACCCTTGGGTTCGAGGGTCCTCCCACTGCGTCGTTCGAGTGTTGTGATTGACATAGTACACTCTTCCGTTGTCCTGACGTTTCTCTGAGAGAAAGAAAAGAAATAGTAACATTTTCAGCATACATATTTGGCAGAATGGTCAGAAATGCATTACAACACGTATACAGTTACATTATTCTTTTTAACAAAATTACTGTAGTGCTCTTTTTTCAATTTATGTTATTCACTGATTCTTGACCAATTCTCTTACATATTGAAAAATATCAAATTTAAAGTGATCCTCTGTTTATCTCTCTACAGGCTGATGGGTAAGTGAGTGTCAAATCTGACAGAGCTGACTGAAAACTGACGAGTCAGTGGGGCATCTCACTAGCGCCTGCTCCAACATACCTTCTCGAATTTCACTTTTCAGCTTTTCAATTGGGTTTAACAGACTTCAACAGACAGAAAGAAACCTTAACGTTTTAGAGATCGAAAAAGAGAAGAGAAAATCTGCTGGCCAATTGCTTTTCCACACAGAGAGACGCAGCCCTCTGCAAGAACCCCCTCATTCACTCCACGTCTAACATCTTGTTTTCATTAAAGCACACAGTAGCCCTCACATTACTGCTCACACAACACTCTCTTTTTCTGATTTTCCCCCCCTTTTTAACCCTCTCATCACAGAGATTTCCCAGCTCCATTTCGCAATGTTATACTGCTGAACTCGATGTACTGAACTTCTCAAGAAAGAAAGCACTGACGCAGCTTTACCGTTTTTAACAGAAAGAAACATTTAAATACGACTTCTCTTCAACCAATATTTGTTTTGTTTTTATATGAATACATACACATTTTTAATTTGAAGTGTCCAACAAATGATATTAAGGTGTGGTTTTAATTAGTTGACAATAAAAGCACATGCCGTAATAAATGTAATAATTAAAATTATTTATTACATGCCTTCCTATACTGAAACACAAAATGTTCTGTACTTTTGATCGCTGTCCCTATCAACCATCTTCCTACACCCTGCTAGTTGTATCACCCTGTCACTTGTATCACTCCACAGTCCCAAGCATTAATTTCAGCTCCAAACTATATTTCATGGCTATTTATGTATTTATTAATAACTGGGATAATGATCGGACAGGTCCTGATCACCCTGTTGAGGTTTATTTTGCTGCTGCCTCTACATTAACCCTTTCTACTACATGGATGTGCATAGCCGCTTTGTGAGAAAAATGGTTGCAAATTTACTTTCATCTCTGTTTCGGCCTCTGTGTTCAACTCCTTGTGAGCACACAGTTTTAATGCTGCTGGGTGCTACGTTTATTTTATTTTAGCGAGCCACCAAATCCTACTATTGATCAGTAGATGTAGTATTAAAGTTTTAAATATTAAGTAGTCCTAGGCCTAAAAGATTATAGGCCTCTCTCTACGACTAAAGTTAACGTCAAACTCACAGTGACCTCATAAAAGACAGCTGACCTGAAGATTAAGCATGAATGAGGACTTACCCCAGCCTGGAGGAAGAGCCCCGAGCGGGTCATTCTCCACCACACCTCCAGACGACTGTGACAGACAAACACAGAGAGACTGTAGTTAGGACACACTTTCTGAACCTTTTGTGTGTAACACCCCCCTCACAGCAGAACCCACAGAAACCTGTTGAAATGAACTACCAACCCAAAAAACACCAGGACCATACACATTACAGCTGCTGGTACTGCAAGAAACCCTGTGAGACAATGTGCTGGGTGTTTCTAGAAGGTGCTGAACCCAACAGATGACAGCGTTTGCCTCCCGCTCTCAGAACAGAGACTGACGGAGGTGTTCGAGTGCCTAGTCAGTGCCGTCCAAACACTACATGCCTGCTACAGGCAGAGAAAGACACACACACTGACACACATATGCATGCAGTGTTCCAGTGATCTCACTGGCTGCTAGAAAGCCCCACCCTGTCTCCATCCGCCCAATCCCGACCCCACCCATGCCTCCGTCCTCTTCTAGCAGAGCTGTGAAAGTACACAGGGAGGTGCGATGTCTGAGCGGACTGAAGTGAACATTCATGAGCACTCCAGATGGCCCAGCCCCCCACCGGACAAAAGCACCTTTATTCCCCCACCATGGCTGTGTTTACTCTGTGCGCATGTGTGTGTGTTTGGTGCACGGAAATTTCATTTATTTGTACACCAAAAACATCCACCCAGTGTGTGTGCTTTAGATGGACATAATTATATATGAAAAACAGGCGAGCGCAAACTCTGTGGGCATGTTTGTGCATTTATACCGTGAACATAGTAAAAAAAAGTATGGAGTAGATTTAAAAACTGCTCTTTACCTTAAAGATGACATTACTCACAGGCTAAATTAAACTATTTGAATCCATGCTGGAATGCAACTATACCTTCAGAAAGATAACAGGGTTGACATTAAACCTTGAGCCAGACATCATAAAACTATATGCTTTTTTTTTTTTTAAGAGAATTTAATGCTTACGTTTCCACAAACATCTATTTTTAATTTTCAACTTTATCTTCACAAAATTAAGGTTGTCACTTTAAAATGGTCCCCTATGAAACGTTTAAGATTGCCGCCATGGTGTTCCTGTATGGAACAGTCTGTTTTAAAACAGGGCACATCATTAAGCATTTTTTAATAAAGACAATTAAAAATAAATAAATAACATAAAATAAAACAAATATGCACATTAAAAAAAAAACATGAATATTAGGTTCTAGGAAGTATTTTTTTATACTTGCCTCTAGACTAAGTCTAGTGCTTAATCATCTGCATATATTTTTAACAATTCATATAATGTAATTCCAATTTTCTCTTATCCAGTATACGTATTATATAAAGGTGAAGTGAGTAATTTCTGTGACACAAGCATCATTAAATGGAGTAGCTAAAAGAATACCTAGTTCCCCCAATCATCTGCCATCTCCCTGCCCCAAACTCACCCCATCGGCTGAGCCAATGTTATTGTGTTGGGTAGGCTGGGATGTTCTAGCAAACAGAGTAATGCTCTCATAGAGTCGCAGAGCCAGAGTATTTATAGTTTTTAAGGAAATCAACCCATAAAGGCTTCATTACAGTTGTCTCTGCATAGTAAGCTGGTATAAGAGAAAGTATTTCAACATCTAATCACTTCACTTTTAAAGGAAGTGTTGATGTTATAGTTAGAAAAATAAAGAATCTCTCAGAAAAAAAAAATCCATTCATCTTTTCAATTTACTCTAGCTTGAGGAAAGCACTAAAAATGCAATGACCACTGAAGACCATGAGTGCTTGCCATTTTACTATGGGCCTTTACCGTGTCACTGCATTCGCCTTAAACTCAAGAGGCGTTCCTACGTTAGCAGCCAAGAGCTCTGACTAAGCAAACTTTAAACTGGCATCTCACAATGGCCATTTTACCACAGTTTTGTCCTTTTTTCCAGCAAGTCATTATATCAGTGGTGCTTGATATCTCACATCTTCATTTATGAAGCATTACCAGTTGTATGCCTTAGTTGGGCTAAAGAAGGTCAAAAATGAGGGGGATGTTAAAAACTAGTGCGTGTGTCAGTATGCCCCACCCTCAGCAGTTTCTATGACTAAAAATGGTAGGAAAAAAATTAAAGAAAACCATGACATCATCTTCACTCCCTCTGCACAGCCATTAGACCCAAACCAAGCCTCAAAGAAACCAATGGAGAAGAAGAACAAAATAAAGGCATAGAGAGAGAGGGTGAGCGAATACATTAAAAAAGAAGAAGAGAGAGACAAAAGAAAACAGGATCACTCACTAAGACATAGAAGACTCGATTGTCCATATAATTGGCAACAGAATAAAAACTTTCCTTGCTCTTAAAGGAACAGTTCACCCCAAAATAAATTATGTTATGAGTCAGGAAGCGCCATTTTTAATGTTTGACAGGAATGAGGGAGAGGAGGCTGTGAGGGACAGAAGTACAGCGTGTTGTACTGGTATTGGACTAAATTGAATCAACATTAAACTAAACTGAGCTGAATAATTACACTATTGTCTTTTTAGAGCTGTTTTACGCCTGCAATTGTATTTGTTTCATAATTGAAGAACTTGGCAATATTAATGCTGTTGATTTCTCGTTTATGGTGTGAAGCTGCTTTGAAACAATCTGTATTGTATAAAGTGCTATATAAATAAACGTGACTCGACAACATGTCGACTGTTCAGCTGACAAAACATCTTTCCAAAAAAAGAAGATAAAAAACACAGTAACTCTTTAGCATAGGGAACACATATTCAGTATTAACTAATAGTTTTCCCTTAACCCTTTATAGGGCACTCATTGAAATACTTGGAAATTCAAAATTTCAACCCTACAGTGTTATTGGAGGCTACCACAAGGATTCCGAATTTTTGTGACTTAAAAAAAAAAAAAAAAAAAAAAAACATTTTTATGTTGCAAATCAAGGTCAATGAAGTTACCATTGGTTTATATGGTTCCTCAACAGTCTATGTTGTGGAAGAAAATTCTTTTCTTTTATTTAAGAACATTTTTTTTCTTTTTCATGCGTCACAATTCCAGTCACTTGCTTCATGGTACTCGATAAAGCACTTGCGTTCATCACTGGCTACGTTTACATGCAACCAAATAATCCGTTTATAATCGGATTGATGGCTCAATCGAACTGAAAAGCCTTCATGTAAACACCTTAATCGATCCAATTGAGCTCGATCGGATTGAAGGGGGTGGTTTATTCCTTTTTTAATACGATTGAGAGTGCATGTAAACACTTGATCAGTTTGAACCCCGTAACTGAAAGGACTGCGCATGTGCAATGACGCAAAAATAACATAATGACGTATGACGCGCAGAATGAGCGGTTCTTCCTTTTGAATAAAGTGTTGTATAAATGCATGTCCTGTCATTATAAAACTCTCCTTTCACTCGGCAACTGTGAAGTGGAGCAGGACAACCTCCCACCAGTCCTTGTTTTGGATCTCATCCACAGGCAACCCGTTTTGGGCGTGGGGCGGGGCATTTTTACTGTGTGATAAATATGAGCAGCACAGCACAGCGGTTTATATGTATATTTATCCATAAATTAATAAATATTAATTCTGCTGTTAAAAACAAATAAAGAAACCGTGTAGGAGAGTGGTTATTATGTGCAAACAGTGAGAAACTATATTTGTGCAGTGTGCGCATGTTTGACATATAAACTGTAAATATATAATAAAAAGTGAAAAATAAGTACTGGTGGTACCACTAATTTTAGCAGTAATAATGCTCACAGTAAAATAAACACCAATATATGCCATAATAATATAAACTGGCTTAGTAGTAAAAATTATAATAATAACAAAAAAACTGTTATAAGTTAAACAGATTTCAATAAATGGCTTAAGTTTCCCACTGAATCACTAACCTGTGGCAACATTCAATGCACTATTGAGTACTATTGTCCTACATTATAATGCATTAAGTGAAAAATAGCACTATAAGTACTGGTGGTACCACTTATTTTAGCAGTAATAAGTCTCACAGTAAAATAAACACCAATATATGCCATTTAAGTATAATAAAACTATTATAAGGTCATAAAACTGACCAAAATTACACATATTTCACTATTTATGGCATGATCATTTCAATAAATGGCTTAAGTTTTTCACTGGATCACTGTATAATGTTATATCAACCTGTGACAACATTCAATACACTATTAAATACTATTGTCCTACGTTATAATGCATTATTTGTATTAAAAAAAAAATTATTATTTTTTTTTAAATTGACCTAAGTATGGCTTACTAGACGCATCGGGCGTATGTCTAAAAATGGACACTCTGTTGCTTGCGCTAGTTTTACCTGAACGGGGGATTAAATATGATCACACCATTTTTCATGTCCAACGTTCACTAATTTCTATAAATCCTACGCAAACAACAGCTATCTCAACATTTAACACAACTATTCAACCATATAATGTGTGAGTTTCATTAACTTACCATTGTTTGTTTTGATGCTATTTCCGTATTTGTGGGAGTAGGTAATAGCGTAAATCCGTACTTTACAAGATCCGGAAGGACGCTGAAGTTTGAAATCCTGAGAGAGTAGCCTACAATGCCGGTGTCTGTTTCTATAAAGTGAGGCAATTCCAACTTTGCAAGGACAATCTGGTGCTTCTGATTCACAGACTGTAAGTACGTTTTTTTATATTTAAAGGATTTG